GCAGGAAGAAGGGATGGGGAGCCTTTTGCTGGACGGAGGCGTCCCCTGAGGCTTGTGGGGAGGCAGGGCAAGCGTGCAGATGTCAGGGCTTCAGTCTGTGCGCGGAGGCTGGACGCTGGACACGCTCCCTCACCCCCCCAGGCTTGACGTTCCTTGCTGAAGTTGCTCCCACCTGGAGGGATCTCCCCAGTCTCTGCGGGGGCAAAAAGAGTCACCAGAGTTGCCCTGAAGAAATTACAGGTTGAATTTCCTTTGTCGCACCCCGCTGACCAGGTCAGCCATGAGAAAGGCACATAAGGCAAGGTATTTCTCCACCGAAACACCATGGCAAAGAGCTATTGCTCTTGCTGAGCTTAAAACCTAGCAGCAAGAGGGGCTCGATGTCTAATTGCAGGGAGATTTGGGTCAGGACCTCAGCAGTCCCACCAAAAGTTCTCCTTCATCCCCGTGTAACCATGGCTCTCTGGTCCTCTCCGGGCCGCTGAGCTCCGCCAGCTCCAGCTGGTGCTTTCTCCTCCGGCAGCCAGCAGGACACCGGCGCTGCCCAGGGCCGCCCACGCTCGGGGCCGTCTGTGCCACGCTGCCTCTCCGAGAGGAACCGCGGCCTCCTGGGGGAGGGAAGTCCCTGGCCGCCCAGGCAGTCTGGCCCTGGCGAGGCACAAGACCGTAACTATTTTGGGAGGTGACCTAATGCTGGGGATGCCTTCTGCTGCTGCCTTTCTTTCCTGACAAGCCCTCTCACGTGTTTCAGGGGGGTCTTTCCACATTTACGGGAAGGGGAGAAGTGGGGCTCTTTCAGGTCCTGACTTAAAAGAATATTTTCCAGCACGCTTTTTAGCTGGAGCGAGAGCTGCGTGGGGGCAGGCACAGCTCTCGTCGTAGGTCACGTTTCCCCTCCAAAAGCCTGGCTCATGACTCCTCACCCACCCAGGCCCTGACTCGTCCCGTGCTGGTTCGGGGGTGCGAGGTCCCCCCGGGGACGGCTGGCAGCAGCGAGGGGAGCGCCCGTGGCGGTCCCATCCTGGCGGAGCGGGAAGGAGCACTGGCTCCGTGGGACCGGACCGTGACCCCGGCTCTGCGTCCTCGTCAGCCCGCAGCTGTGCGGGAATGCCAGGATGAGAGGAGAGGAGCTCCTCCGGCTCCTCGCTGAGGTTTCACCCAGGTGGAGACCGAGGCGAGTGCCTGTGATCAGCGGGATTTTGTGTTTCTTTCTCCTGGCCGCTGTTCCCCGCTCAACCCCCACCCCATGCCCCTCCATCAGGCTGGGCTCTGACTTCATCCCCCAGGTATCCAAAGAGACAATGCCGCCGGCGGCAGCCAGCGCGGCATCCTGTCCCCTTGCCTCCCCGGGTCACTTCCCAGGATTGTTCTGCTCTGCTAGGACAAGGGCTGGCTGCCCGCTGGCCCCGGGGGCCGGGAACGGACGAGCCTCACGTGCCTGGGACGAGCCTCACGTGCCTCTTGGCCAGCGGTATTTCGTTTGGCGGCAGAGCACGTCTGGGGCACGGGATGACGGCAGGGAAAGGTTATCCCATCTCTCTGGACTTTGTCCTGCTGCCTTTTCCCCCACTTTGTTAGGAGCTGCCCCCCTGCAGTCCCCACCAGCGGCAACGTCGGGCAGCCACGGACCGCGGGGCAGGAGCCCCATTTCTGTCCAACCAAAACCCTTCGGCTGGCGCTGCTGAGACCGGCCCAGGTCGGGGCGAGCACAGAGGAACACAGCTGATGCGGGCCAGGGCTCCCTGCTGACTTAGCTAGCATTAACCTCAGAATTAAACTAATTAAACTAATTAAACTAATAGCAGGAGGGTCCAGCCTTGTGTCACCATTCCTCTGGCACCAAGCCTGCATTCAAGCAGGGAGCTAAGCCTGCAAATAACCCTCCTCAACATAATCACCCCCGATTTTCTGCACCAGAGGCTAGCAGTCTATTCATACAGTGATCTTTGGACTTGAAATATCCTTTTTTTCTCTTGTAATTCTTTATGGTTTGGTTAGTGCGCTGCCCAGCCACACGCGCCTTTCCTCACTGTGTCCCATGAGTTTTCGCGGCCTGCCTGTCCTACCGCTGTAGGGCTTGTTTAGGTTTTAAAGTTCAACTCTTTTCCCATTTTGCTGTGATATTTGCTTTTTCTAGGGTGTGTTCCTTGCTATCTGTCGGCTCCCAGCTGCGTGCTGGCTGTCAGTTCTCAGAAGGCCGATGCTGGCTAGATATCGCTGGTAGCCACTGCCTGCAAATACGGGGCGGATGAAGCATCCTCCCCCTTCCTGCAGCCTCGCGTGGTCCAGAGCATCCCCTCCCTCCCGCTCGCTCTCTGCGTGGTCAGCTCGGACCTGGCTCTCGGTCCTTCTGCCCCCAGTCAGCTCGCAGGGTCAGCAGCTCCATCCCCGCACGGTCGCGGTCCGGGGTTGGACCAGAAGCTGGTTGCTTCCTTTCTGAGGTGCTGGGACGCTGGGTGCTCCCAGCTCCGCTCCCCCCAGCCACGTGTTTCCAGCTTTGGCTATTTCAGGGCTTCCTTTTTCCCTGAACTGAGCGGCTTCCCAGCACGCTGGGGACGAGGCAGGCGGCCCTGGGGATGTCCCTGCCTTCGTGTGATGGATCTGACTTTCACATTCAGCCAGGGGGATTTTTTTCTTTCCTCTGGTGAAGCTCCTGGGCAAGCGGCGTAGAAAACAACGGGCAGGAAATCGGGGATGGGGTCCCGGCAGCTCTGCCCATGGAGTGTGGCTGCAAGTACCCCCAGGTCTGGGTTTCTCCTCCCGAAGCTCCCCCATGGAGCAGCCCGGTCGCCGCAGCCGTGGCTGTCAGGACGAGCAGGACAGTGGCGGAGCGGAGCAGAGCCCTCTCCTTCCCTCTCTTCCCTGGCCCTGCAGCCCTGCTCCTCCCTCCCAAAGACCATTGCGTCTGTCTGCGGCCCAGGTTTCCAAGTTGCACCTCCCCGTCCTGTTTGTTTCTGGTTCTTCCAGGCCTTTGGCATGCTGTGCAAATGAGAAAAGAAACGCTGATTTTTCCAGGAGGAAAAAAATGAGAAGTTAGTTCATTTAATGGGAAAATGGCGAGGCTGTCAGTCCTATGGGAGCTGGACACGGGGCTGCTCCGAGGGCAAGGCCCTCCTCTGCGGGGCACTGGGGATTTCCCAGACCTGGGGACAGTAACTGGGAGAAGGAGGCAGAAGGGGACCAGAAAGGGACGGAACCAGCAAGCAGGGCAGGAGAGACCCCCTGCTGCCACGTGTGCTGGGCCTCCGGGCAGAGGACGGGTGCTTGCCATCCCTAGGGAGGGACCTGCTGCCTTCCTGCCCCTCTGCCTCAGCCCCGATGCCTGGAGCCCGGTGGGGGGAAGAAGGTGGAAGGCCAAATCCAGCAGCCCCTGCTCCCAGGGAGGCGGTGGGGGGCTGACAGCAGGCCCCAGCTCAGGGCACGTCCAAAGGGTGGGAGCACCACACCGTGTACGAGGGTGAGGAGGGGCTGCCCGCGTCCCGCGGAGCCGCCCGGGGCTGCGGCCGGGCGAGCTGGTGCTCAGTTCTTGGCACCGATCCCTGGGGGAGCACGGCCGAGCCATGCGGTCGCAGAGATCACATGAAGCCAGGGTTCCCCTCATCAGGACTCGCGGCAGCGTCCTCCTCTTCTGAAGGCTCTTCACTTACATGGCGTGATGCTGGTGCCATCTTCTAGGGTCGCTGTTACGGTAAAAATAAGGTGTCTCTTGTCCCATGTCCTGAAAATGGGACATTCACCCTCTTTGCTGTCTCTCCCGGTAGGACACGGGAGCTCCGAGGGTACCGGGGCGCTGGGCACCGGGTGAAGCCTTTTGATGAAGAGGAGAAGTGGCTGGGCAGCCTCCGTCCCAGCAGGAGCTGGGGGCCTGCAGAGACGCCCCAGCCAGGCGAGCCTCTGCGGCCGGGCCCGGGGAGAGCCGGGGGCCTGGATCCTGCCCTGCGCTGGTCCCCCCGCGCCCGCGGGGCTGCCTGCGGCCGGGCTCAGCCTCCGGCCGGGAGCGGGACAGGCTCTTGCTCCCCTCCAGCAGCATCGCCGTGTCCTCAGCGCGGCTCCCTGCTCTTCTGGGCTGTCTCCCAGCAGGGACCAGCCACGCTTCCAGGCCCCGAGCAGAAAGCAGGCAGGTGCTGAGCCAGTCTCCATGGAGGAGGAGAAGACGCCTCCAAGGACAGCGAGGGATCGCCGGGGAGCTCAAGCAAGGTGTCCCGGCTGGTGGTGGGCTCTGCCTGTGCCATTGCTGCCCTCTAGTGCTGCCGGCATCCCCGCTGCTGCCTGTCCCCAGGCAGACTGGTGGGACTGGTGAGGGACTGGTGGGCTCTGGCGGCGGGGCTGCATCGGGGGGCTGGCAGCTACTGGGGGCACGACCCGTAACCACCCCAGCTGCTGCTCCAAGGACCTGAGTGCTGCTGAGGATGCTCATGGGCCGGGGGAGGAAATCCCCATTAAGAACTGCTGCCGCTGAGGCCTCCGTCACAGCGCCTGGCCCGCGGAGACAGGCGGGGAGAGGGGAAACTGAGGCACGGCGGCTCTCCCCTCCTCCCTCCTCCCCGGCCCACACAGCAGCTCAGTGCTCCACGCCAGCGGTGCCCCCGGTTTGGCACAAGGGCGGAGGGGGACTACGGGGAGCGTCGGGGCAGAGACCAAGCGGGTGCAGCCGAGCCTGCGGGGGTCTGGGCTGGGGGGGAGCTGGGCTTTGCCCCTGGAGCCCTGAGGTGCCCATCTGGTGGGGCCTGGGGGGGAGAAGTGGAGGGGTGCTGGGTTTAGGGCAGTCCCCCCACGCGGGGGGCACCCTGAGCTGCCTTTTCTCCTCCAGACTTGTTCGTTTTGGGGGACGGGAGGGTCGGAGCCTCCCAGGGCGCGGGGAGAGCCGCCAGCCCCCCGCCCTGCCGGGCTCGGGGGTCCTGGCCCGGGGCAGGGTGCTGTCAGCAACATTGTCCACTGCGGCCGCGCCAGAAGCAGACCTGGGGGTAAAAAGTTGGTTTCCTGATGTTGAGCCCTTGTTTTCAACCTACTTTTTGTCCATCTTAGGTATTTTCTGCCCCAAGGGCCCCTCCCCGAGCGCCGGCCGGCTCCCCTGCAGCGCGCAGGGAAAGCGGGGCTGGGGGCACTGAGGGACAGGCTGCCTGCGGGTCACGGAAAGCGCTGCCGTCTTTTGGAAGCGTTTAGTGGATTGATCGGGAAAAGCATTCCTGGAGCTGGAAATTTTCCCATTCCCGTGAGCATTTTCCCCTCACAGTCGGACACCGGGGGCTGGAAAGCGCCCATCTTGTGTGAGGATGTGTTCTCCAGCTGGAGGTGTTTAGGGAGCGAAACTCCTCCGTGTCCCCCGACTCCTCCGCGGCGGCCGGCCGAGGGAGGGAGCGATGCTTATTTTTAAGAGCGGGTGACCATCGTCCCCCAGCAGCGGCTCGGCAGCGGTGCTGTCCCAGCCCAGGGCTGGGTGCTGTGGATCAGCTGGGCCTGGGGAAAAGCAAGAGGGGCTGGGGTCAGGTGCAGCCCCCTCGCCCCGCGGGGTGGGATTTTCCCAGGGGATTCAGCACAGGGGCCCAGCGGGGTCAGGGCGCAGGGCTCAGCCTCTCGCCGGGACCCTTGGGACCTGCTGCACCGGCCCGGCTGGGGGAGATGATGGAGGGGTCATTGA